TGCTCGCATGTTTGCATTCATTCATATGTCTTGCATGCACCGGGCTCGGCGCACATACTAATTGCATTGTATTTCAATTCCAAGTTGAATACATGTTATCTGTAGCATTTCACATGCCATCTTAGAATAGCTAAGCCTATCTTAGTGGCATTTTTTCATGTGATGCATTAGCCATCTTAACATGAGCTAGGATCATGCATTTGATTACTAACTAGCTTTTGTTTTAGCTTGGAGTACTAGGTAAGCTTTTATGCTTTAGCATCTTGCATGCGTGTGAGTGTTAACATGGCAGCATGCTTTTCATGAGGCTAATTGCTTATGTGATATAACTGCCTGAATGCCTATGGGTGAAGGTTGGATTATCTAAGTTGGAATATCGCATTGACTGTGAGTTTTAAGCCCATTTGAGAGTAGGCAAATCATCTTGTTTTCTAAGCCCACCTAAGGGTGGCAAATTCACATTTTAGCCTACTTACGAGTAGCAAACCGTTTCAAAAGCAAGCATGAGGTGTTTTGTTCCAATTCAGGCGATCCAATCTATACTTGTTTGCTGCGGGCATCACATAGTAATTCTAGGCCAATAACCGGAATAAGAGCACATAATGTTTTTCAAAACTCGATATCATGGTTAGTAGAGGCCGATCTTTGATCGAGCGAGCGGGGGTGCTCATGAAGTGACCTTCCCCAATCGTACCCAAGTTCCAGAGCCGAGGCAACTTTGGTGATGACGGACACGTGGCCTTAGGCAACGAGTCAGGGTTTCCTAAATGTCGGAGTCGGCTGATTCCGGGGATGTTACCTCGGGCATCACTATTTTGTTTTGTGTTTTTTTTTTCGTTTTCTTTTGAGTCTGTTTCTGCCTGGAGCCAGTTACACCAACAGATCTAAATGAAACAGCAGTAGTTTTCGCACTCTTGTGTTTGCTTCTGTCTTGCGCCAGTTGTGCCAGAAGTTTGAACGAAACGGCAATGTTTTTCACCTACTTTTCTATGCCTCGAACTCATTGCATTGACCTAAGTTTATCAAAACCTTTTGAACATTGTGATGAAAACAAAGAGGAAGGAATTCCTCGGGATTTGCGAAAATTTGATCAATTGAGAGAATGAAAGGCATGCTAAGCCCTTAATGATTAAAATCATGCTTGTTAGTGTGAGTACTGAGAAGGACCCTGGCTTAATCCAGATTGGTTCTACACTATCTTTCTCAAGAGCGATTTGTCGCCTTCTTAAAAGATTTCAAAAAAAAATATTTTGCGCAGTCCTGCGAAGACCTGTGTAGAATCGCTCTTGAGATTGTGCAGCTTAGGATCACTCTCAACCTCAGGACTCGACCCCTCACTTTCAAATCTTGAACTTGGAATATTTAACGGTCAACCACGATGTGAGGCCTGTGTGGCCAGATTCGAAACAGCCCTCGAACAAGAGGCACCAAAGTCAGATCAAGAAGATCAGATATCGTCAAAAGAAGCTTGCGAAGCTAGATCAAAAGCGCCCCTCGAACTAGAGGCAAAAATGTCAAATGTACTCGAAGAGCCGAAGATGGATCATTCTGCAAATCAACAAAGAGTGGCAAGAATGCCAAATCCCAGAACGAGAGAAAATGGATTCAGATGGCTTCGAGATCTCAAAACCATCTGACATGGACAAAGATACACTTTTACCCTTGAGAGGCTCGCTGGGCCGAAAACCCGGAAGGGCGACCCAGACAAAAGTTAGAGCGAGGAAAAAAGAGAAAAAAGAAAAAAAATGCAAAGAAAAGAAAAAGAAGAGATGAAAAGAGAAGAAAAGAAATGAAAAGAATTGAAAAGAAAAGAAGAACATAGCTCGCAAGGTTGAAAACCCGGAAGGGCAGCCTTGGCAAAAGTTAAAGCGCAAAAGGAGAGGTTAATACCCAAGTGTACCTACCCCGAACTACGTAAGGCTTGATTCTCATGTTTAGGATACGTAGGCAACTTCATTCTGAAGTCCAGCCACAAACACTTCCAAATCAAGTGTGTCCATGTAATGGTTTTGATTGTCTTTGCCTTCTTTGTATCCGAGAGTTCGGTTCTGATCACTACTTTGAGGACAGATTACAATGCGCTGCGGTGCCATTCAGACAAGGGGCAACTTTCTGTTGCCGTACAGTGTGCTGCGGTGCTATTCAAACAAGGGGCAACTTTCCGTTGCCATGCAGTGTCCTTTAGACAAGGGGCAATTTTCCTTCGGATCCGAGGTTGTGCATCTCAAGCATAGGTTCCGTGCTCGTTGAGCATTGGCTATTTGCAAAAATGGTTTTTGAGAATTTTTACTGAGGTTGACTAATTTTCTCGAAAAATTATTCCATTTTTCCAAAACCGGACCATTCCTTGGACCCAAAAAAGGAAAATTTTTAGTGCTCATAGCCTAACTTGCATGATTTCAAATCAAAAAGTTGAACAAGCATGTTAATCTAACTCTCATATTGGTCAAAATTGTTTTAGTGAAAAACCAAAACAAAAAATGGTCAAAATGATGAACTAGGGGCACAGTTGAGTCAGGTTTTCTGTCTTTTCCCCTTTATCAACTCACTTGCCATAAAGGGCACTCTACTTGCCAGAAAAGGCACCATATTCGCCAGAAAGGGCACAATGGAAGCTAACAACAAAGGACTGAAAGCTCTCACATCCTTTGAGCAACGAGGTATCAAATCAAGTGCGAAGCACGAACTGGAATAGATCAAGATATTCCACTTCCTCATCTGGACAGATCTGATCACGTCCAAACTCCCCAGCAAAGCATCATCAACCGATGTCAGCTGCAAATTTACTACACACCCCATCTTAGTGCAACCCCTCTGTGGGAGGTAATAAAAAATAAAAATTAATTGAAAAAGTTACTTCACAACTTATTTAAAAAACACTACTCACCAACTTAAATCTGTAATCCAACAGTTATACCAAACAGATTAACAGCTTCTGATTAAAATCATAATCTATAATCTGTTAAGGTATAATCTATTTTAATAGCTATACCAAACAGCACCCATGACGTTCAAGATCCCAAGTTGTATCCTCCATTGCCATACTTAGACTACTGCGTAAATGATGCCTTGTCGGTGGAACAAAAACTTGATCCGTGTTAAGACTTCTACGTGCTTCCGAATACTCATTACCAACCTCTGTTTCACTACTATCCGTCCATCCACCTTCACATATTAAAGGGTTTGCCATAAAGCACTCCCTCTACTGAAAGCAACCACAGAATAAAGTACAAGTAGCAGAACATTAAAAAAGAAAAACAAAATCCGACACATTCTTTTGGAATTATTCTATAGTAGAAGAGTAGTAGTGTTGTACGAATACAAAATTGATATATATAATTAATATAAAATGACAAACTAATTTTTTATTTTATCACTTTAAAACAAAAGACATACGAAGATGACTTATATTTTTAATAATGTTAATGTGATATTATTCTTATCATAAATTATGTATAAAAATTCTCGAAACTTATGATTTTCAATACTAGAAAAGAAAAAGAAATAATTTTTGAGTCATATTAGAAAATATTTTTCTCAACCGTTAAATTTAGATAAAACAAAATCTTAGCATTAATTGATAATGAGTAAAGATAAATATACGAAAGATGTCAAGTCAAAAAGATTTGGTGACAGGGTAATCGTTATTACTATAAAAGAAATTTTGGTGACATAGACAACAAAAAAATGAGATATTTATAAATTGTAAGAACATCATTAAATTTTCGTCTAACTAATTTTTAATTTGGATAAAAATTTAAATGAATACGAACTACTCGAACAATTTTGTTAAAATTTTATCAAAATCTTTTTTTAAAAAATTTCTCTTATCCCAAGTTTATCTTTTCATCAAATTTGGAAAAAAAAAAAAAAAATCCTCAAATGTTTCATCTTTTTTAATTATCATCAAATTTTAATTTGGGGAAGAATTTTGTTTTTATAACTTGATATTCAAATCAACTTATGCGCACATCGACTAATTTGATGAACGATTTGATAAATTCTCAATTTGATAAAAAAAAAAAAAAAACAATTTTTCACCCTTAGATTTGTTGAACATTTGATCAATAGATTAGAAATGATTTTTTAATTTTTTTTATTAAATTTAAATTTAAAAAATAATATAAAAAAATGACTTTAAAGCAAATTAACCTAGTAGTCAGTCAATGAATCAAACGACATTTTTGTTTTTTCAAAACTTGTATCAAAGAGTAACTGATCGATCACAGATACAGATTCCTTTATAAAATGGCAAACTAATTCATCAAATCTGAGTAAAAACATGACGAATTCCTTTATCTGATATCAGTCACTCCAATGGAATATTGTAGCTTTCATCAAAACACAATGGACGTCCGGGAAGATGATTGGCTGGTCAACTGGAAAGAGGAAAATGAATTTTTTCCCCCTCCATTTCTGTTTCCTCAATTCCTTTCCCATTTCTTTTTCCCTCCATTAAATCTTTTCCATTTCTTTTCATCTCCAATAATTATTTCCTTCAAAAAACAGATATAAATAGATTAACCCATGTACTATATAAACCAAACAAACAATGTTGTATATGGAACCAAACATAACTAAAAACCAGAGCATAATGACTAGCTCAAGTTCTTCTTTGTTCACTTCATTTTCATCATCTTTTTCCTCATCCCTTGATGATGCATCTGATGATGAAAAAATTATGAAATTTTTGGGTGTTTATGAGATAAATAATACTAGTATGATACTGATTCTGAGAGTAACTGATCGATCAAAGAAAAGAGGTTGTTCTGTTGTAGGACATAAATACATATGTCGTGATAGATAAAAGGGCATGAACGATTGTTTACGGATTATTTTGTGGCAAATCTAGTTTATTCACCTCCAACATTTCAGAGACGTTTTGGAATGTGCCGTCTTCTGTATTTGAGAATTTTGAATGCCATTGAAACACACGATCTATATTTTGTTCAAAAAACAGATGCAGCTCATATCCTCGAATATTGTCTTCACTTTAGAAGATGACTTCAGTAATGAGAATACTCTCATACGGAGTGGCAGCAGATGTAGTTGATGATTATGTGCGAATTGGGAAAAACATGACAATTGAAAGTTTGAAATACTTTTGCAATTCAATAATCAAAATCTTTGGACCCAAATACCTTAGATCTGTAGCAACAACTGATATTGCTAGATTACTTGCTATTGGGAGGTTCTTGGGTTTCAGGTATGCTGGGAAGTTTAGATTGTATGCATTGGGGGTGGAAAAATTATCCAACGGCATGGCAAGGTCAATGCGTAGGCCATCAGAAAAAGCCAACATCATTCTTAAAGCAGTAGTTTCTTATGACTTGTGGATTTGGCATTCATTTTTTGGAATGTCTGGATCACATAATGACTTGAATGTCTTGGATAGGTCACCCTTATTTTCTGATCTTGCCCAAGGTAAAGCGCCACATGTCCATTACACTCTTAATGGACACACTTATAATATGGATTATTACCTTGCTGATGGTATGTACCCACAATGGGCAACACTGGTTCAGACAATATCTTCACTCCAAGGAGCAAAGAAGTAACATTTTGCAATGATACAAGAGTCAGCAAGGAAGGATGTAAAGCGGACATACGGAGTGCTCCAATCCCGATTTGTAATTGTAGGTGGTGCGGTACGTTTTTAGGATCCTAAAATGCTTGGTAACATAATGAAGAGTTGTGTTATATTGCACAATATGATTATCGAAGATGAGAGAGATGAGCATCTTAATTTTGATTATGAAATTTCATCAACCAACTCACTAGAACTATTTTTGTGTAGCGGTAACAATGACTTTCAGTCAGTTATGTCCCTTCATTTAGGTATTAGAGATAAGAATGTATATCATGTCCTCCGCAATGATTTAATAGAACATATGTGGCATCTTCATGGTGAAAACCAACTTCACCACGTGGATGAGAACATGAACTTTTGGTTGACTTTTTGATTGAGAGATGATTACGCAAGGAAGGTTGTTAGTGTTTGTTGTTGCTCTTAAACTTCATTTGCACGCATCATTTTTTTTGTTAGTCAAATACAGTCAGTGTTTGTTGTTGGTGCTCTTCACTTGGTACACATCCATTTTTTCTAGTATTATTGGTCCATTAACTTTGTCAATATCGAAATAGTGTTAAATTTGAATGTACTGATGTAATAATTTACTGATGTTCTAAAGTGTGCATGTGAAATGTACTGTTAATAAAGTGGTTTTTTTCAACATATTTAGTAACACAATATTTCAATGGAGTGCTCACATTATTTTGGTATTATAAAAGTGGTGTTGGTATTTATGCCCTTAAATCCATTCATTTACACATTTTTGTTAATTGATTATTTTCACATATTGTTGATGAGTCCTGAAGATTGAATTTTGTATGATCATAGTGTGAATTACAAGGATGACTACTGATATGGATTTGGACTACTAATATGGATGCCTATAACATATGAATTATATATATATATCCAACAGTTAATAGATTACAAATAAATTACAAATGAATTATATATATCCAACAGTTAACAAATCACAAATGAATGCCTTAAACTTCACAAATAAATTACAAATGAATCATATATATATCAAACATTTGATATATACACCCAACCATCCAACTACTTCACCATCACATATTCTGCAGACTTCACCATCGATTTCATTCATGCCTTATTTACAGACACAACCATCCAACTACTTCATTAAACAACTTGACCCACCTTATTACTATCGGTTTCATTCATGCCTTATTTACACACACAACCATCCAATTACTTTATTAAACAACTTGACCCACCTCATTACTTTCCCCTACCACCTACCTCATTTAAAGCTATTGAAAATGCACTCTATATAGACACAATGACATGCCCGTGTATGTTATATAGAGTTGAAGGAAGTGTACATCATTTAAAGAAGCAAAAACCCAAAGCAGATTCTGTACCAAAACCAGTCAACCGAGGGTCAACCGGCCCTGTTTTGTGAATTTCATTTTTCTGTTGCACTTCCTTTTTGTGTTGCACTGCCTTTTCACACCATTCGGTCACCTGACACTCTATTTTAGCACCTCTAAAATCTACCTTTCACAATTAACACATTTCCAATCAAATTCAACATATATTGACATCATGCCTAAAACCAAAAAAGCAAGACCAGAACATGGTGAAACCTCCAACCTTCCACCACGCCAACAACAACAACAACAACAGTCTCAAAGTTTAGCTTATCCAACTACTGATTTTCTCACTTACAGTCATGAACAAGCCTTTCAAAGCTTCTGCAGCTGACCTATTGTGATCGGGAGAAGGGTAATCTTCCTGCTCAATATGATCCTCTGTTGGTTAGCAAACTTAAGACTATGGTGTGGCTAAATTTAATTAATTTACCACAAAAGGTATATCCTCGACTTGTGTCTTTATTTTATGTTCACTTGAAAATTACTGATGAAGAAAATGAAGACTTTAGTATTATATCTTATGTGAAAAAGCCTATTGAATTTGACATTCCTACCACTACAACAAAATGCACCTTTGGCGACTAAAATTGGCGACTAAAAAAAATTTAGTCGCCAAAAGTTATGGAATTGGGGACTAAATTTTTTTTTAGTCGGCAAAAGTACAATATTTAGCTACTAAATTTTTTTAGTCGAGGTATATTTACTATTGGCAACTGAAAAAAAATTAGTTGCCAAAAATACCACAATTGGCGACAAAAAAAAAACTTAGTCGCTGTATATTGACTTTTGGCTACTAAAATATTTAGTTGCCGAATGTCCCCGAACGCCCCGGGAGGATGAGGTCCCGTTCTGTTCATTTGGGCTCACTACAGTTCGGACTCTCGAATTGTCACGGTTCTTAATCTGAACCAAAGAGTCCAAATCCGGCAAATCGTTTTGAGAAACAGATTTTTAGAAAAAGAAGTGCCAAACATGGACTGCTTTTGCCAGATATAGAGTCGCCACCTAAATATTTTTATGGGGAAATTTAGGAAACCCTGACTCGGTGCCAAAGGCCACCCGTCCATCATCACCAAAGTTGCCTCGGCTCGAGAGCTTGGGTACGATTGGGGAAGGTCAGCTGTGAGCACCCCCTCTCGCCCGATCCGAAGATTGGCCTCTACTAACCGTGATATCCGTTTTTGAAAACGTTATGTGTTCTTAATCCATTTATTAGCATAACATTACTATGTTATGCGCACAGCAAACAAGTATAGACTAAATCGTCTAAATTGGAAATAAGCATTGCATACCCGTTTATTTTGAAAAATACTTTGGAATTTGCTACCCGCAAGTAGGCTAAAATACGGATTTCAACGAGTTTTTCCAACTCAGACAATCTAACCTTCACCCACAGGCAATCACACAGTTTATCACGTAAACATCTAGCCACATGGTAAACATGCTGTCGAAACTCTGTTTTTGGTTGCATAATCCATGCCATGTGTGGTCATGATAGTTGCAGTGGAATGCTCCCTTTTATAGCCTTGAATGCCCCTTGTTTCATGCCCATTTCTTAGCATGTTTTAGCTTTGTTCCATGCCTGCTTTAGGCTTATTTTGGAGTGCCTTAGGACTATTTTAAGTCACTTTGGTCCTTTGGGGTTTGGTTGACATAGCTATGGTTTGAACCCCTTTGTTGGCCTCAAGTTTTGGACCTTATTGCATGCCTTGCTTGCATGTTTTTTTTGACTTGGCATCATCCTTTACATGTGCTCCAGAGCTTAACATGTTGGTCTAGTGTCCATGATTGTCTTCTTTTAAGTGTCCTTAAAAGTTGCCTTTTGCGCCTAAGTGTTGGGGCCTTTGCAGGAGCATGCTTAGTTGTGTTTTATCCATCATTTCCATTGCACTTTGGCCACTGTTTCAGGGCATGGCTGAGGCCTCCCATCTCAGTTTAAGTCCATCCTTGTACATAGTTGCATGTTTGGTTAAGTGTTGCATCTTATTACATCATTTGCAAGCTTGCATTATATCATGTTTGCATGCTCTTGTTACATTAGTTTAGCTTGCATGTTTAGTTTGCATTGCATTTGGTATGTTTTGCTAATTTAGCCTCATATTGCATACTTGAGCCGTTTTGTATACTTGAGTCATATTGCATACATGCATTGCATTATGTTTGGTTTGGGGTGTCAAACCAAACATGAGGAGTGAGGTGTGTTCGTACTTAAAGTGACGAAACACGTCTCAATCCTCGGTCGCCGACGCCCTTGATCTCAAAATGATAGGGCGTGAAGCATTCATTTGTTTTGTTGCATTCATTTACATTGATTTGCAAACTTGGTACCTTTGGCCATCATGCATCGAAATGCGTGATTGGTGGCCCAAGGACCGAGGGCTATGCTCCCTTGAGTTCATCGCATGATAGGGAGAGTGGCTATGCACACATTATCTTGAAAATACCTTGCCATACACTGTCTGTCCTCTGCTGCAGCAAAACCAGTATTCTGCAGGAATGGATGGCCGGTCGCCCACATTTTGTGCCGGCCGGCTACCAAAGTCTAGCCGGTGGTCCCACTTTTGGTTGATAATTGTATTCCAGTGGCCGGTGGACTTTTATTATGGCCGGTGACATCTCACAGTACTATGGGAGTGTTTCAGAAGCATCACAAGTATTTTCATAGTTCTCAGAGGTGCAAAACAGTGCAAACAGAGGCAACAGTGGCATGGCAACGAGTTTCCGAGCAAGGCGATCGAGCATGCATCATCCAAGCATTCCAAGGCAGGGCTGCAGCGGCCTCCCTTTGTAACTAATTTGTTAATTAATTTAGGGTTTTGTAATATTTAATTAGCTAGAGTAGTTAATTATTTATTTGTGTTGTATAATTTATTCAAGCGAGGGCACATTTGTAATAAGTGTGCGTGTGTTGTATGTCTTCCAACCCCATGTCTTTCTCCTTTTTACTTACCTGCTTAAGATGGTCAGATTAGGGCATGTTTTAATAAGCATACTTATGCTCGCATGTTTGCATTCATTCATATGTCTTGCATGCACCGGGCTCGGCGCATCATACTAATTGCATTGTATTTCAATTCCAAGTTGAATACATGTTATCTGTAGCATTTCACATGCCATCTTAGAATAGCCGAGTCTATCTTAGTGGCATTTTGCATGTGATGCATTAGCCATCTTAACATGAGCTAGGATCATGCATTTGATTACTAACTAGTTTTTGTTTTGGCTCGGAGTACTAGGCAAGCTTTTATGCTTTAGCATCTTGCATGCGTGTGAGTGTTAACATGACAGCATGCTTTTCATGAGGCTAATTGCTTATGTGATATAACTGCCTGAGTGCCTGTGGGTGAAGGTTGGATTATCTAAATTGGAATAACGCATTGACTGTGAGTTTTAAGCCCATTTGAGAGTAGGCAAATCATCTTGTTTTCTAAGCCCACCTGAGGGTGGCAAATTCACATTTTAGCCTACTTACAAGTAGTAAACCGTTTCAAAAGCAAGCATGAGGTGTTTTGTTCCAATTCAGGCGATCCAATCTATACTTGTTTGCTGCGCGCATCACATAATAATTCTAGGCCAATAACCGGAATAA